GCGTTAGGTAAGTAAAAATATTTAAGTTACTCATATATGTATTAAGTTAGATAGTGACAAATAAATTTCAAGTTTACGGCCTGTTTTCGATCTCTCATCCCTATTTAGTTTTAAAAGTTGTGGTTTAGACAATTGAGCCCCTAAACCAGATATTTCATGGAAGTTCAAATATTTAAGAATAATCTAAATAGAGTTTGTCTGACTCATCTGCAAGGCGAGTTGCAATTAAAGCACATTTAGTGAGTCATACGGTGATTCTGTAACATGTGATATATGTACAAGTAAGTGTGTACGTCTCATTCGAATTGACAGTAGTTTTCCTATCAGATTCTGTATAAAGTGTTCGGGAGCCATTATTTGATAAATTGATTACACAAATGTGTAATAAAATTGTAAGTCAAAAGCTGATTCACTGCATTATAATTGTATTTAGATAAGCACGTACGTATAATTCTCAAAACTTTGATTGTCGTTAAGAGGGTGTCCTTTCGGAGGCATGCCCGATATAATTAATTTAATTAATTAAATTTTGTTGGTTAGTATGCAAAATAATTCCCGTCAAAATTTCATTTTTCTATGTATTTATAGTCTTGAAAATTTAGATATTTTACAACAATAGTCTATGTGGTAACACTTTGATGAAAATTAATGTTTTTGCCGTATCTAATGATGTTTTTGATTGAATGCCAAATAATTCATAAGTAACTATCTGAAAATTGTAGATTAAAGTTATTATGGCGAATTGCAACATATTATGGATATGATTTAATGATTTGCACTGTTAGATAACATTTTCTTTCTTTCTTGTACTTATAATTTAGTTTTACTTTAAATATATGTCATCTTCCAACTTCAATTTTTCATTTATTTGGACATGAACTTGAAGCTCTGCATCATGATGGAAATCTGGAAACTGTGGAGTTCCAAATAAACCGACACACCGGAATAGTCCTGCCAGGCCCCTCTACGCAGCTCGCCCAAGAGAAGAACCGGTCGATCTTACTAAATAACCCAAATAGTGAAATCTTTTCGCTATAAACGTACAAATGTATATAATGTAATGTTTAATTGTAAAACTTTGGTCGCGTATATGTATGTTAAATATTATGTTATGGCCTCAATCTGCAGGCCGATTCATAATAATAATATAATAGAATATTGAAAATAAAATGAATAAAACTGTCAATATTTAAAACTGATAACTTTATAAAATTTGTCTTGTCTTTAATAAAGATGAAATATAAGATTTATTTCAAAAAAAAACACAAGTTTGAGCAATATATATATAATATTTTAGCTCTATAACATGTCCTTTAAAGTTCCAAGTTCATTACTTTAATTTATTTGACAATGTTTTTCGAATGCTACCCCTTTTAAACGATTCGTTTGTTAAAGTGAATCGCATCCACATGCTGCCACGCTGAAATGAATGAATGTTTCTTTAAATGAATGTCATCACCCGCCTTACACGCTGCCAATTCATGGTCTCTTCATCAAAATCACGACCCGAGTATATCACACGAAATGATTAACAAGCCGTGTTAAGCCGCAGTCGGGCTGTCGGAAATTCAAATTCACTCTGCACTCACATTTCTCACTGATTACAAGTGAGTACATGGGGTGCATGTAAACAGAGAGGTGGACGTGTGGACAGATTCAAAAAAGGTATTGCAAACATATCCGCTACACAAAAACCGTGCAACAAAATCAATTAAAAGGGCCTATAAATTGTAAATACATGTCGTTTTATCAATTTTTTGTTTTGTTTTTGAAAAGCGATCGACAGATCGCCGGAAAGAAGCTGCTAAGTGAGTTGTAAATCGCGTCGACTGCTATTGTGAAGCAATACCGAATGTAACATGCCCTGTAATTGCTTTGGAAATAAAAATGTTAATACCGGTTTTTCATTTTATTTTTAATGGATTTTGCTAAGTCAAAAAACGTGTTTTTATAAAATTTTGAAAAGTGTTTTGGTTCTATATTTTATATTTTTATTGACAGCAGGTATTGAACATTTTATAAAAATTATTTTTTAAGTCAAAACCAATTTAATTTCAATTTAAATCAATTATATTCAAAATCGAAATCATTCGATATTTTTATCAGCAACCCTACTATCAAGAATTCATTTGTGAGATCTGCCACTGAGGAGACCCTGTCTATTCATAGTTGATAGCTGCGCCAAAAACGCAGAAAGAAAGAAATTTTAAAATCTTGAATGCAATTCGGGAGCTAAATCTAATTATTTTGACATTTTTATCAACAACATAACTAGCAACTACTTTTTAGTGCTTCAAAGGAGTAGTATAGTCGATGTAGAATGTAAATTTTTAATTCACAATCTCGGTGGAGACAGAAACAGTACAGAAACAAAAAGTAAAATCAAGCAAGTTAAAAAGTGCACTTGAAACGCAAAACAGCACCATATACGAGTGCCTTAAAACATGTGCCTCGGGGGCCACTCAGAGGGGAGCTCCGCCATAAATTCATCACCTTAATTATACGCGTAAACAAAAGCAACACGCGGGCAAGTTGAAATAATAATACTGCGAGTGATGAAAAAAAAAAAAAACCGATCCAAAGCGTGCGTCCGATAAGAGCCTACACTAATGGCACGCCATGAACCTTGGGCCCTGGTTGCCTGCCTCGATGTCTCGGTGCAACCACCTGTTAAAATATATGTGGAGAAAGAGCCAAACACGTAACTTGCTCCAGTTGCTCCGATAAACTACGCATACGTCGATGTCGTCGTCTTCTTGCAAGTTGGCCATCTGGCAATGTTCGCTGATAAGACTTGCTCAGCTAAGAGGTTGGGTGGGCTGGGGCGTTGGGGGAGGGTCCTCTAGATAGTGTACCTAGTGGTGTATTGCGCGGGCGTAGTGCGTAACATTTGTCTGATAAAAAGTAACGGAGTGCGTGGGCACCTGAAATGTACCCGGCAGCAGACGTTTCTACGGCTCTACACGTAGAGAAAAATTCAAGGCTGATGTACGCCCCCTTTCAACTTTTTAAAGAATTTCTAAGAACTGCGAGTACTGTGATAAAATCTTATACCGCCTTTGCTTTGCAATAGGGGAATAATCTGAATCATCCAGGTACTATTTGCTAAAAGCCCTTTGCAAAAAAAATTGGCCAAGACGGCTGTCATTCCTGAGGATATAGAAATAAAAAAAAAGATGTTAAAGATAACCTTTTGAGTTCTGCTTTGGAGTTAGGCAGATATCCAATTAGGTCTTATTTTAAATCCCAAATAAACCCTTATTATCGCCGCATATCCAATAAGAACTGGTAATAGGCGCCATCCGTCTGCTACAAATGTACACGAGGAGTGTTTTTCAGGACTTGCTTGCTTGTTTTTGGTGACAAGGTCCATCGGTACAGTTTTTTTTTCCAAACATGACATCTTTGTTTTTCCGATTACATCATATTTCTATCGTGAGCAATCGCTTTAAGTTCTTTACTTTTGTTTCCCCTAAAAACATAGACTGGCTTTTGATTAACTTTGAAAAAGTGTTTCTTACATTTTAAAATCTACTACTAAATACTTAGGAACTAATATCTGATTGGAGAACATAAATTGCCCTACTTAAAATATATATTTACAAGCTTACGCTTTTTCCGAGTGCACATTCTAGTTTGTTTATGAATCAAGTCCAGGCACTTGTGTAGTATCGTCTATTTTAAGTATTTACCAACCAGCCCGTCGGTGCAAACTGATAAAATTGTTTACACACTCGAAAAGACGTCGTCGTTCTTTTGAAATTACTTTGCACTAAACAAAAACCTGAATGGGTGCTTTCAGGGCCCACTTGTTTCGGTGCAAGTCAAAACGGACGTTTCCTACACACGACCACCGTCCCCCCGCCCTCCTCCACTAATATCATCATCACCGTCATCATCAACATCATGATTGAGAGGCCACAGGTGTTGCTAATTTTTTTTTATTTTTATAATTGATTCGAAAGTTCTGCGTTGAATATACAATATATACCTATTTGATTAGCCAAACATGTGAGTGGTTTGTTCACTTTTTCACTTTTGTTTTGCTGCATCATTTGAATTTCTAATCGGCGTTTATTATCTTTTGGCCAAACTGGCTTTTGATTCGGCCGGCATATTCGTACGTATGGCCTACAGGTGTTTTGCACCAATCAGAAAACAAAAACAAAACTGGAACACACACAATATCGTACAAGTAGTGTATCAGTATTTTCTGATGGCTGTCCTGATTAGTTTATAGGTTAGTACTTGGCGGAATTTATGCCGTTCAGTACATTTCGTAGGCGAGGCGGAAGTTCCAAATGGCATTGACAGGTGTTTTATAATGTCGATCGATGGGCAGAGCATGTTCTGGCTAATTAAGTGTGTGATGTGAATTATACAACGATATTAATTGGGTATTTGAAAGATAAGCGTGCGACTATAAATTAACAAATACACTTTGGACTCTCAGAAACTTTTGAGGACAACTTCGCTTAGAAGACCCACAATAAACATTTATACTCTTTTAACAGGTCTTCATTAGCTAATGGAATCTTTCGATTTCAGATTTTTATATGCTATAATCCTCATCAAAAAGATAAGAATAAATAAACAAAATAGTAACTCCGCTTACAGGGTAGACATTCTAAAAAAATTCCTTAATCAAGGTATCATAGAGGTTCGCTATAAACAAGATCGAAATTGCAATATACTGATTGTAGATTTTAATTATTTTATAAACAATTTGATTTGGAAATGAAATTAACTTTTTTTAATGTTAAGAAAAAAATTGCAAAAGAAAGTGTTACTAAAGAATTGAAAAAGAAGTGAAAAAAGCGTTACTTTTGTAAACATCTCCTCGTTTGAGTATCAATATATAACAATTAAATATTTTGTAAAATTTTTGTATTCGAATTTTGAATAAAAGATCGACAAAAAAGTTTCTTTTTGAAGCAGTTTAGCAAATAAAAAGACTGCTGTAAATTATAAATATCCATAAAAAACTTATATGTACTTACCCGTATATCTTTTGCTTCACTTTTTGAAAATATTGAGTTATTAGGATAGTTCGAATATCAAACAATGTACGTTTTTCAAAGAAATATCTGAATTTCTCAAGTCCAATTTAGTAGCGTTTCATGGCCGTATATACCCGCATGCACAGTATACTCATATTTTCGGCTTCACAAGAATTCGTCACTTTTCAACTTGGCCTCTAGATAGGAAATATATAAGATATCAAGGTGTGGCCAAACTATTGGATTACAGCAGCAACACTAGAAAACAGAAATAAATGTTTCAACTACTTTTAGAATCGAGAAGTAGCAATTAAAATCGGGCGAACAAAAATTTATGAAAGTCAGCTTAAAGATAGAATAAATATTGTATTCAAAACTTAACAATCGAAATGCCAAAAAAAAAGGATAAGAATTCTAAAAAAAAATGAAAACACAATGTTCTTCTTTACGTAAAAGTGCGTGACAAGTAAAATTCAAATTGCATTCTAAATTTAATTTGTTCCTAAAATTCATTATTATTTCTGTTGCATTTTTTTGCACAACACGTAGATTTTTATTTATACTCTTCTTTAAACAATTACCATTTTTTTTTTGGTTTCCTGAAGAATTCGTATTTTGTAATTATAATAATTTTTTAAACGAAAATACTTAAAGAATTGATATGATTATAGTTTTTCTTTCTATGCTATATTATTTTTGAAATGTATAGTATGTATTAATATTCTCACACAAATCTAAATTGTAACTTTGAACATGTGAAGGTATTTCTACATTCAGTATGAGTATTTGTTGGTATTTTCTTGGGATTATTATTTTTTGAGTTTTTAAAAAAAACTAAGCTACACATTAAATGCCGCATACATCATTCTAGCTGTGCTAACAAATGTTCAATCAGACAGGTGCAAAAGCTTTTAAATTGACTTTTAGTGGAATGGGAGAAAAGGGTTCGAGAATGAAAACAATTTTAATGCCAGCTGTGGCGATAAAGGACGCGGGGCGTTGCTCGTCTAATTGTCAGAACGTGGATTTACGAGCGCCTATGCTGGCAATTTGCTAGCAATTGCTGCGACAAATGTGCAAACAAATGTAATAATAACATCAAGCAGGCAACCCAGTCGGCAAGTCACTCAACACACAAGCCAACCCAAGCCAACTCAAGCCAACCAGCCACCCAACCAGGCACTTCAAAAAAGGGATCAAAATTGTCAAACAAAACATGCCTGCCATGTAGAAAGACAGACAGACAGACAGACGGACGGACTGACAGAAGGCTGGCAGTGGTTGTGGCTAGAGAGGGGAGTAAGGGTGTGGATATGGGTGCGGGGAGCGAAGGGGCGGTCAGCGGCCTAGCACATACTCAAACACTCATCATCGCGAAAGGCACACCCCTCGGCCAACTGTTATGCTCTGAGGGGTTGATTGGCAGCCCCTGCCCTCCCCTCACCATTTTATTGCTGGTTGCTTTGTCAGCGTAGAGTCAAGAGGTTTTGAATAAATTTAACACGACTTATAAGGCATATATAGGATGGGATGTCGGTGATCCGACAAATGTTGTGTTTTTTGCTTCTTTTTTTCTGCGTATGCTTGTTTGTGCTTTTAAAAGCAACGAGTCTTTTGTTTTCCAATTGGATTTTTGTTTGCATTGCCTTAATTTGTACCGTTCATAGGCCATTTGTTCCATTTTTATGTCATCATCAGCAGCAGCAACAGCATTAGTAGCAGCGGAAAAATGCTGTCAGCTGTTTGTGTGATATATTGTGAGTGAGTGAGGAGAGCGTTGAGTGGGCATTTGAATGAGTGCGAGAGACGAGGAGAGCGATACACACACAGATGTGCCAATTTAGCGAGACCCCATGGCCACCACCACCGAACAGCACAAACGATATATCTCTCATCGCCAAGCCCCAAAAACAGGTGTGCGACTCATTTGAATAGGCGCACAGAAATCCGCGGACGTCGCACACTGACCAGAAGCAGAAAAAATACTAACGCGCACAATACGAGGTGATGCCAATGACGGACAGTGGGCCAAACAGAATATGTTTGCGAAACCAATTCTGAACACTTTCTTTCTGTTATCAGAAAACATTTAACTACTTTGCATAGAAATGAACAATATCTACAAATATGGATGAGCGCCTAAGATACGCCCATATTGACCAAACTTGGTGACGCAAGTTTATTTGATTTTTTTGGGTTTTCCCACCCTATCCCTGCTACAGTATTTTGTCAATACTGTCTACAATTTCATCGCCACAGAATCTAAACTTAATTTAATTAAGACTTCTTCTGCCTCTATCACATACATAAGTAAAAAAAAAATAAAAGCTTAGGCTAAGGTCATACTGACAATTTATCATTCAATACAGGTATGATATGAATATAATATTACTTCAATCGAAAGAACTACTTGTACAGTAGTGTAAATTCGTGTGCAAAAAATTTGCAGGTATGACCGTAGCTAAAGATGTCAAAAAATGTGGATTATTATAGGTAACGTTATAATCTGTTTATTTGATTGGATATTAAAGTCCATTGTTTATTAATGAAGTTAGAGATTTTTGTTAAATAATTTAAAAAGTAAAATATTATTCTTGTTTTAAAGTAGTACCAAATCAAAAACAATACAATAAAATCTGCTTGAATTTTTTCTGAAATAGTTCATTGTCTGACTAATTGTAGTATTCGTTTTTCAAGAAAACTTTTGCACATTCTCAAAATATTCGCTCCAGAATAGACTACAATAGGAAAATAATTTGTTTTTATCTTTATATATTTGACAGATACATTTTTGTGGGCATAATTTTATTTGACTCTGTTTCTAAAGAGACACATTTACGAGGCTTCCAGGAAAATTCAAAGGACAGTTTTCTCAGAAAGCGAAGATCCTGTTTTCGTCCTTTATGCAGAATTACATGCTTGTTCACATGTTTTCAATGTTTAGAATATTTTTTAGAAATCTTTGATTAAAATATTCAATCAAACTAAATCCGTTTTAATTTGGCTTTACTTTTATTAACCCAAAGGACCACAGTTTAGCCTAATAGGCCCACAGTGCGACGACAACAATGACAGCAAAAAAGCGAACAAATTCATTTAAAGTCGTTCGCTGACGCTTTTTGTTTTTAGTTTTTCCTTTTTTCTCTTTGCTTGTTCTTTTGCAGCGATCTACATTGTCATAACGTATACGTCATGTGTGCCCGCTAGCTAAGCGACGTGTGTTTGCCGGTCCCTCATCTAAGTCTATCCAGTGCAGATGTGTGTAGAAAAATGTACATGTCTATGTGTGTGTGTGCATTGGCATATGTGCCCGCTTAATGGCCAAGACGTGTTCAGCACATTACCGTTCAGAAACCTTAAAAATGTGTTTTAATATTTTTTTGTATATACGATAGATAATTTAAACTAGCAATACCTTGTCCGTTCACAGGCAATAAACGACAACAAAAAGTTGCAAATAAATGAAAATGTAGCTACAACAAATATTCCACAATGTAACAAACAAACAGCAATACGAAAAAACAACAACCAACACAGCAATAACAATAGCATGTATTACATAAATACTTGGCTTTATTGCTGAGCGACGGCTGTTAGTCTGTCTGTCAGTCAGTCGGTCAAACATTTAGTCAGTCAGCTAGTCTGTGAGCGGCGATTGTCAATACTTGATGTTTTCGTAGGTGCGGTAGCACGTCACTGCCAGCCAAGTTTTTGGGGAGCAGCTGTACTATATATGTAACAGCAGACTGGCCTTTGGCATAAAAATAAATGTACATTTTTCTATACTTATAAGATTTACAAAAAATTGACACGAAATTAGCATTGCTTTCAAAATTTAAAAGAAAAAAGAAGAATTTGCAACTATTTTCTAGAATAGTTTGGAATTAACTTTAAAATCAATATAAAAAAACAACAAAATGTTACATCTTTTAGATTTGCATTCGATTTTTCAAAAATAAATATTCAGGTTTTAAAATTAAGTTGAATTATGTTCTCAAAATTAGAAATGAAGGACCTCCATTATTTTCTTGAAAATATAAATCTTTCTTTTGCCCAAAAATGTAACGAGAAACTAGAAAATATATCTAAATAAAATATATCTACATATCTTAGTTGAATATCCCAAATACTCGAGTTCTTTATGAATAAAGATAGACGCAAATTATCATTCTGATCGAAAAAAAAAACATGATGATCGAATTCAAAGAAATATCTCGAGCTCACTTTGGCACAGTTTTTGGGTTTTCCTAAAACAGATTAGCTTATAGGTTAAATTCAATTTTAAAATATATTTTTTATGCAAAAGAATCCATTCATAAGATATTTTATTAAAATGATTTTAAATGCTTAATGAATATTAATGATGCTACAGAAAAAAAAATAAATTTCTATTAAATAAAAATAAAATAAGATACTCGAAAACTTAAACAGCTGAAGGGGCAATTTTGAATGGAAACAGTCTGATAAATGCAATGTTTTTGCAGTTTCAGGATCATTATTCTATTGAAAAAAATAGAAACGCATACAATTTATCGCTTTAGTTAATATTAGAAGACTCACAAAGATTATACGAATAGTGTTATCTTAATTTTTGTTTTATTGTAAGCAAAAATTCTTAGCGTGAGAACAATGATGCACATCTTTTTGCAGTTGACGAATCATCACAATTAACTGCAACTCTTTGATAAATGTGAGAATATTTTTACGTTATTTGTTTTAACTTTTAGCTTATATAAATATTTAAAAAACAAGAATATTTTCTCAAAACTATTCAAACAATTTAGTAATTTACATTATTTCTAATCTTTTTTGCAAAACCTAGGCTTTTCATCTTCAACTCAAACACCCCGTAATTTGAAAAGTACGAAATATTTTCAGTTAACTAGTACAGTATGCTAGTTCAGTTATTTTCAAACCATACAAAATCTTAATTAGTCATGAATATTAATAAATGATGATAGTTTCAAAAGAAATGTGGAATATTTCAATATCAAAACACACACAAACAAAAAAATTGCAATCCCTGCTCATTTATCACAACAGCTCATGTGCTAAAAATCAATCGGTTGACTAACTCAAAACTATGTATGTTTAGATATTCACTGCCAAAGATACATATCAACATGTGGAAGGCGAGGCGAGTCGAGTCGAGGCAAAGTATATTTGTAGTATTTGAATAGTTCAACGCAGGTGGCAGATGTTTGTCTTTCAGCTTCTCACAAAAAAATAGC